GTCCCAATTCTTACTATTTCATCAAGACCGTATCGTGTCCTGGAAATTGATGACTCCACGAAGACAGTTAGAGTTGCCAGAGAGGATTTATGGAACACCACTTGTCCCAGATCCTTTTACAACACAACATTGGAACAAAACATCTTTCTGCTTTCTCCCAATTATCCAAACATTACTCTATACTACGGTTGCTCGACATTTAATGGTCAGCCTATACCACAGCTCCCATCGATGTTCCCTTGCGTTGGGAACGATACCAGCAGCGCAAGTTTCTTCACAGTAGGAGGAAATTTTCCATCTATCCCTGGATTTGAAACTGATATCAGATGTGAGACTAGTATCTCCGTTCCAGTCAATCAAACTGCGGCAGAGTTCTTGGCAGGTTCTACAGCTTCAATCGTTCTTCTTCGGGACGCTCTTGCTAGTGGCTTCTCATTGCAGTGGTCCGCGAATAATAACGTCTGTGAAAATTGCACTCGGTCAGGTGGTCTATGCGGAACTAATCGGGATTCTCAATCATTTGCTTGTTATTGTGTTAGTGGAACTTCTGCGTCAACTTGCAACTCTATTGAAACTGAAAACGGTACGTGAAACTAATTTTTCTATTCCTTTGGTTCCTTCTAAATATATTCAAATTCAAAAATACTTCTTGTACAGTCATCAGAGAGCTGTAAAAATTACAGTCCTCTAATGACTGCAAGTGTAGCAGCTTTCATTCAAATATACACCACAACTAGATCATATGAATTTTGGTCAACCATATCATTTCAATAAAATTCTACTATTCTTATAACTTGTAGCTTGTAAGCATCCTAAACTTCTTTAGAGACAAGATACGTTTCAACTATTTAAAATCGTAATTCATTTCTTAATTGGAATACCTTCAAGTTTAATTACTTCTGCTACATCTATGCTTATATATCAAACAGTACGAAGGAATTCTTTAATTTTATTATTTAAAAAAAAATAGACAAGGCATATGTTTGGTCTCAATTTTTTAAAACTTATTTTTTTTTTCCTAAATTCTTTTTCAATCACACATTTTATGGGATTCAAAACTTTTCAACCATAAATCCCACCAAATTTTATTAAAATCTACTTAAAATTTTGTTTTTAGCCAAATAAAAAAGGGACATGATTTCAAATAGTATGAGCCCCATTATATGAAAATGCATTATTCTCCAAACTCATTTTAAACCACACATTCTTTCCATAATTTTACACGTAAACTCAAAACTTATTTTTACTTTTTAATCACACATTTTTCCAAAAAAAAAAAAAAATCACTATTTAAAATTCCATTTTTTTAAAGATAATGACCATCAAACAGGAATTAAGTATAGTGATGAACAACTAGGTGCAAATGTTAAAAGAGTTTTATGGCGTTGAACTCAATGGATTCAAATAAGTATAGTGATGACCATTTACTATTTATATGTTATGACTTTCATAATNCTTCTCTAATTTTAAATTAAATGGACGTTTTCTTGAATTATGGAATTTTGATTAAAAAATGTGGTGATTGCAAAGAAAGAGACCACTTTTCAATTCTTTTTTAAATTCTTTGGTGCTTCTTAATTAACAAAATATCTACTTTTTATTTTCTTAATTTCTCTATTTTAATTTATAATTACTCTTAGGACTCGTTTGGAAAACTTTTAAAATGTCAAAAGTTACTTTTAAATAATTTTTTTAACCGAAGCTGACGTATCATAATTTATGACAAGATAAGATTTTGGTTGTTTCATAATTCATTCACTAGTCTCTTCAGACAGTACCTTGGTCAAACAAAGGCAACTCTGAACGTTCAAAAATGGCAAAAAGAAAAACATTTCTTCAATGTTGTTCTAACTATGCCTCTCTCTCCCCATCTCGTCATCCTACTCGTAACCACCATTCTAGCGGCGGCGTATTCCCAAGGCGCCACCGTCCCACCCTCCTCCATCAGTAGTTATGCTAACTGTAACCGAACCTTTTCATGTGGCATTATCCGCAACATCACATACACCTTCACTGGCGGGGACCGGCACTCCCACTGTGGCCTCCCCGAGTTCACACTCACGTGCCGAGACAACGCCTACCCAGAGTTCACCAGCAACTCGGTCA